ACTCTATTCTCATTCATTCTTCTTTCCATCTCATTCTCACTAGTCCAATTTTCTCTTATTTGCTTCTCATCTCTATTTCATTTAATCTTATTTGCATTTCATTCACATTTTCTCTCTATTACCATTCTCTGTTATTTGCATTTCATTGTCCTTCTCTCTATTCTTATTCAATGTTATTAACTAGCACTTTATTCTCATCCACTGTATTCCCATTTTGATTTGCATCTCATTCTCATAATTCTCACTATTCTCATTCATTCAAATTGTGCAGGTTGATGCTCATCCAAATAAACCCAAAGGGTTTTTCTTCATGAGTAAAGATGCTCCTGAATGTGACAAATTGATGATTCTCATCCATGGCAGTGGTGTGGTACGAGCTGGTCAATGGGCAAGAAGGTTTGTAATATATCATGTGAAGCATGGTTTTCACTAGCGAGATAAGTATAAGCATAAACACAGACCTAAGGGTATCAAGCCCACTCACTTCTCTGTTGACGTCCTCACTGTAACATAAGCACAAGGATCAAAGCAATCTCCTTCTTTTTAATATGCTTCTGCTTGTGCTTATGTTGCCTTATGTCATAGTGAGGACGACACTTTAGGGATGCCCCTGCGTTAGAATGACCATGGTACCATGGTTTTTCATTGTCAACCATGGTCAACCATGTTTTGACTTTGGTCTAACCATGGTGGCTGACCATGATCAGAAAATAATGATGACAATGGCACACTGTCAACCATGGTCAAAATACATTTTGCTTGATTTTACCAAGAAAAGACATTAATTGATATAAATATGGGAAAACATTCTAGTTAGCACATTAAAATGCATAAACAGATTGGCTGTATACATAATCAAGTTATTTTATTGAGTGTATTATAATATGACAAAATATAAATAATTCTAAAAATTATTACCATACTGTAGATGTGCATTAAGCATTGAACAGAAAGTACAGTAAGTTGTCAGGACAAAAGAGCACCAGGCCAACCAAATTTCATGATTGTAACTTTAGTGTAGAAACAAAAATTTTGGCTTATATTTACATGCTGATTGTATTCAAATTATTTTCTGTTGCATTAAAAAAGTGAGTGCAAATATTTGTTTGAAAAGGCAATAATTGTTTTATTTTATTTTGTTCCTTCTATTAATGAGTGAATTATACTACTGCTCAGTATGATTTGCAAGCTGATATTGTATATTTATGTAGGTTTTTCTTGACCATGCTGTACGGGTGCTGTTTGCAAACATGGTTGACCATGGTAAACCATGGTATTGATATTGCTTTCAAACACGGTTGACCATGGTCTACCATGGTATTGATTTTGCTTTAAAACATTGTTGACCATGGTAAACCACGGTATTGATTTTGCTTTCAAACATGGTTGACCATGGTAAACCATGGTATTGATATTGCTTTCAAACATGGTTGACCATGGTCTACCATGGTATTGATTTTGCTTTTAAACATGGTTGACCATGGTCAAACCATGGTTGTTCTTTTACCTAGCATAACACTAACTGACCATGGTTGACCATGGTTAAACTTGTGCAATTTAACGTTCATGGTTGACCATGGTCAAAACATGGTCACATCATGGACAAACCATGGTCAACCATGTTTGCTTGACCATGTTCTAACATGTTTTAATCATGTTTGACCATGGTTTGACCATGGTCCTGACGCAGGGGAGAGATCAAAACAAGTGCTATCTTACTGACCATTTTCATAATGATAACAGTTAATAAGGGAATAAACTCTAAGTTAAAAAGTATTGATGGCAATTAGATTTTTCATATGAAATGATATACAATATGTTAGAATAAATTATTATTTTGAAAAAGACAAAAAATATTATGTAAGAAATATAATGGGAATAGGGCGTTTTCCTCATATGCCAATTAAACTGGATATCTTCTTCATTATCCTGATTTTGAAAGTCAAATCACAGGTAGGAATGAATGTNTCTTATTTTATTTTATTTTATTTAGCATTTACCTCACATCAAATCATAGTTTTAAAAAATGAAAAATATAAATCAATTACAAGCAGATGAGATTACGAAACCTGTGACGGTATCCCTTACCTCTCTCTTAAACTCGAAATAACTTCCGGTCCCATTGTGTTTCAGTTAATTCAATCAAACACATTACGTTGAATTACGGCTATGAAATCAGTAAAACAAATATCTATGGGTTGCCTGTGTTAAATTACATTCAATTTACACTCGTCAAATGAGAGGAACGCCTTGGTAAAATGCTGAATCGAATGTGAAATCAAACAAAAAAGGGAAATTCCCCGAAACTACTTCACAGTTGCGTGGTTGTTTCTACGGTTTTCTCTTCCTCGTTTTGTCTAACATTCCTGCTTCTTTTAGTCGTAAAGGTAAGACTTTACATCATCATTTCATTGTACAAGGTCTAGTAATATTTAAGTAGTGTGAAGTTTATATTTACTTGTCTGTAAAAGCTAGATCAATTTGAATTTTTGTTTGCAAATTTTCCAGTCTCGTGGTTTATTGGAATCCAACGAGTACAAAGACTCTCGTACAGCCGATTTTTACAGAAGTCGTTTGAGGTTTTGGCTGAAAGAAAGGGAAAGAATGGCTATGGGCAACTGTAAGTATTATATATTGGGCCATACTTTGTTCTATGAGATTTTCATTGTTGTATATACCACGAACATTTCCTTACAAAGGTCTTAAATATTTGAGCTATTTCATTTGGCCCGACTGAAAAAAGGTGTACAATAAGCGACTTATAATCAAAGTAATACAAAAGAAATAGAATTAGTTTCTACTCCTATATGCTTACTATTCTTTCACGGGACAAGTTATAAAGTCACTCCAGTGTAGAAATCCGTTTGAGTTTGATAATGATACAATTTTAAGCTTATTATGAATATACATAAAGATGCATAAATGCATCCTCAAATGATTACAACTGAAAATACTACTGGCTACTACAGTATGTAAGCAGCATATTTGAAGAAAGCCAATTAGACAACTTATTTATAACTTCTCAACCAAGAGATATGTTATTGAATACTGTATCTTGACAGAATTGTTTTGGGGTACAGTTCTTACTTCTAAGTTAATTATTGTGTAGCTCAAGAGAATATGTATACCCCACCCACAGAGGAAATTGGGAATTTTGGAGGGGAGGGGGACCAGAGAAAGGACAAAATTACAGAGTTTGTATGGACGAAAATAGGAAGTTCCGGATGGTAGGGGGATCCTTTTAAACAAATTTTAAATTTTCTAAAACTAGACATTTCACTTCTAAATAGCTAACACTAACACTAAAAGGACATTAGAAGAGGCAATGAGCAAAGAAAGGCTGTCAATCGAGGAATATGGCTATGAATTTCAAGGTAGGATTGYTTGTTTTGATAGCTGTGAGAGTTATGGCAAGATTAAGTTTAGTCTTGACTTTGTTGATTGTTTAATATTTAATTGTTTGCTCACAGAGGTTAATGATCAACATAAACTTCGGGACATAAAAACTGGAAAAAACTTCAAATTTGATGTGTACCGCGAGAAAGAACTAAACCAGCAAAGATATGAAGAAATAGGGGAGGTAATACTTACAATTCAAATGTGTATATATATACATTTTCACAACATTAAAGCTTGTAAAATGTTAGGAAAAAAGAAACTTTTAATGGCAATGAGAACACTATCCCTATCAAATTCGAAAATTAAAGTTATTTGTAAGTAGATTGATCGAGGGTTTTTCTCCAGATTCTTTGGTTTTCTAGGCCTCTTTCCACACGTGAAAGTTCTCATTTTATAAAGGCTGATTCTTTGGATCTGTATATACATATGATAAACCTTATTGTTTGTGCGTTTACTTATTTATTCCTTTATTTACCAATCCCTAGCGGGTGGAGTAAATTATAGCTTTCAAAATATTTGTCATAGTTTTATATTGTTTTTCAGTCTATATCTAGCTGTACTTTATAGAAATGCTTAACTGCATTTTACTACTTGCTGCTGTATCATTTCTCGATAAGCACAATTTTACGATTTTTAGATTATATATATAGTGCCAAACTGCCCCACTTCCCATCTCAAGAAGAAAAAAAGAAAAAAAACCCAGCCAGCCAGCAGCCACATTATGTTCTATTGCAATAATTGTGGTTATGTCTTGATTTCTTCACTGATTTTTATTTCAGGCTATTACAGAATATGTCTATGAACACCTTGAAAAGATGCTCAAACTCAAGAGAGTCCACATTCCAGTCCTGCCAGTAAGTAGAAGAAAAATTCTTTCATCATAATATAGTCATAATCTGATAATCAGACCTATCAGGTATACACTCAATTGAAGAATCAGTGTTGGATTCAGAAACATAGAACATAGAAGCTGAGACTGAAATGGTACATAGGAAGCACGTTAATTAGATGCATGCTGTGACCGGCGACCTGTGGCATTATCCACTGTTTTTAATACGCGTTTGGCATTCTAAACCGACTGCATGGATGGCGCAAATGAATAAATTATAATATAATTATGTCATTTCCCATGTGCCATTTTGGTCTCAGCTTCTATGTTCTATGTTTCTGAACCCGACAACGATTCTTCAATTGAGTGTATACACGCAGTTCTAATTGCAAAAAAGGTTGTCACATTCTTTGTTTGCAATCACATGCATTTTGCCGGCTCCAAGATATATTTAGTTGCCAATCAAAAATCAATCCTTATGAACATGTAGAGCTATTATTCAATTATACAACTCTGAGCAAAAAATTAAAGCCTTAGAGCATTTTTGAAACGAGCTAGGGTAAATGTATGGCAAAACCTCGCTGGATGATATCTAATGTCAACCAAGGTGTGACAACCTAAAAATATGAGTTTATATTGGCAGCTCTCTTAGGAGAATCGCAATACTGCATCTTTTTATTATTCTCTCAATTTTTATTCATTCTGATTTGCTTCTCATTCTCATAATTCTAACTTTTCTCATTTATTCAAATTTTGAAGGCTGATGCTGGTCCAAATGAACCCAAAGGGTTTTTCTTCATGAGTGAGAATGCTCTAAAATCTGATAAACTGATGATTCTCATCCATGGCAGTGGTGTGGTACGAGCTGGTCAATGGGCAAGAAGGTTTGTCTAGATATCATGAAATATCTATGAGAGATATCATGCTAAGAATAACAAGGCTGAGCATGAATATGTGCCGGTAATCGGAAAAAATGTCCCATAAAAATGATCACATGACTGGTAAATTCCTGTGCTATAAATGTATAATACTATTCCCCTGCCTGAAGCCTGAATTATTAAAATAGAAATAGAGATTATACTGGTAATCTTGTGGGACCAGATTTAGAGAGGAAGGATAGGGTAACCCCGGGGGTACTCTGCCAGGATTTGGGTAGGGGTGTTCCGCTGGGATTCTGAAAGGGGCACCCTGTTTATGACAAAAAAACTCAAATTCATAGACCCTGTTTATGATAAAAGGTATAATTAATTGCACTGAGTTCGTGTTTCAATTATCATGCCAGCTCGTGTATCGCTTTTTGAAGACCATAGTAACCAGTTTCGGTCAATTCGAAAGTAGAAACCCTGAGTATGACAGGAAACTCAGGAAAAAATTTGGAACTTGTATGAAATTGCATACCCTGTTTATGACAAGAAGCTCGAAAAACCATACCCTGTTCAGCAGATCATCCCCGTGTAGTCCATATATGGGAGTACCCCCCCCCCCCCGGGAGGGTAACCATCTTCTCTGGAATTGAAATTTTGGATGTGCTCCTCAAGTGTCTTCAAAATACCAGTCTTTAAGTCAAATCACAGAGACAAATGTACGTTTCATAATTTTCCCCTTTTAAAGAGAAGGAAAGGAAACTTCTGCATGGATCTCCTTGATATTCTGTAGAGCATGCTCGAATGTGTAACGCCACTACAACGTCATTACAACAGATTTGCATTACTTTGGGTGCCAGTACAGACATTTGATCTATTAGTGATTTTCCATGCCCTGTGGGCAAAACAGTCAGCATATCTTTTCAAGACAGGAAGTACGACAGCGCTCTATTTTGCTCTTTGGTTAGCTTTTCGATCCCATAAGTTTTTAGTGAAGATTAAACATTTTTTGTGGCATCTTTATTTTCAAACTAGCCTTTTTGAGTTTCTACTAGCAGCCGCATTGTAACAAGGGCTCAAATTCTGTCAGCGGATATAATCAGCTGGCTCACAAATAGTCAGCGGCTATTTTGCATTAAGACATGCGTTAAAATTCAAACTGGTTGCAAGGGGTCTTAAACTGGTTGGGAGTTAATTTATTTGCCCAAATGTTTGGACAGCATCAAGCAGATCCAGCCAGAGGTTTCCTTTCCTAAAAAAGAAAACCTCTGCCAAGCAGGGTAGGTCATTAGGGTTAAGACAAAGAGATTGTATCGCACAAATCACTGTAATACAATGTACACTGCCACCTTAATCAATATTTGGACCACTGTTTGACCCTGCTTTTTTATCTGCAAGTTGCACGGAGCATAGACCTTTTTTGAGATAGCGAACATGGTGCATTGTGGTCTAGCTTCGGTACAAACATCATGCCTTGTATGGTGTTGTTTGTACTGAAAAGACCTATTGCAGTGTGTAACTTACAGTGCAATAGAGACTCTTGCAACTTGTGTTGCAATGCTGTTGCGAGACAAGTTGCAGCAAAATTGCTCTGTGTAATTGCGCCCTAATTCTCTTCTGTTCCTTAAAAGCATGACATATAACATAACATGCAATGTGACATGACTTGACGTGACATTACGTGACATGATAACACATGACAAACATGACATGACATGAAATAAAATAGCATGATATTGATGACATAATATTTAAACATTAAACAATTATTTTGTTTAACTTTAACCTTTTTTTACTATGAAGCTTGATCATCAATAACAGTTTTGAAGCTGGGACAATGGTTCCATATATTGAGAGAGCAAAAGAGGTATGTGAGGATTCCTTTAGTGAATGATAATGAAATACCATAATATCTATGCCATTTCTACAAGTTACCCTGGATCATATAATACGCTGTTTCTAATTTTATTATTTCACATAGGTATTTGCTTACTTCTGTTGTTTTATTCTGACTTATTTATTTCATTTTTAAATTCTTATCTTCATTCAAGCTTTATTTTCTCACATACCATTTTCTCTTCTTTTTCTCATTCCTTTATTCCTTTTCTATGAATGGTATGAGTACATTTATTACATGAGTACTTTATTACCTAAAGATGTTCATGGACAAAAGATCCCATCATCAGATTTGTTTTAAATTTTGCGTGATGAATGTACATTATACTAGAAGTAGAATGATCAAATAAGAAATGGGGGTCACTGACTTCATTTAGCCATCAGTTTCTGTCGAAGTTCACCCTTTTGCAGTAAAAATACATGAAAGCTGAAAGGATAGCTGATCACCCATTTTTTACACAACTGTAGATGACCCAAAATGTCCCAATAACTGCTTCATGTCATGTTAAATTCTATTATTTCAGTTATGCACAAAATATGTTAATTTCGATTTGATCCCTGTGTTAGATTTTTGAAATTTTTCCTTTTAAGTTAGGTATCATAAAGTACTTCAAAAAACAAAGTAAAGAAGATTGGTCCACAACATTGTTTCAGAGCTGTGAGAGTTTGAAGTTTGTTTCCTTGATATTTGCACCCTTTTTCATTTTGCCTATAAAAACATTTGTTGGTGTGACATCATCACAATGAGTGCCCAGGCTTCAAACTCATGTGTAAAAAGCATAATGGCCAAGCAATGCCCATGAACATCCTTACTAAGTAGAATACCTTAAAGCTAGGACACAACTACTATGAGTCTGTCTTGACATTTCACATTTCAAAACTACTCTACATTTTAACCTCACATGTAGCAGGGTGTCTATATATATTCCATACTCAATATTCAAAAAATCGTTGTTTTTTTTCCAGGAAGGTTTTGGTGTGCTTATTACTAATGGCAATCATAATTATGATGAGAAACTGCATAAGTGCATTAAGGTACTCCTCCTTTTGCTATGTTTCATTTTTCATTTTTATGTTCTTCTTTTTATGTTTTCTTTCCAAACATAAACTTTTTAGAACTGAATTCAACACAAGACCTAATCCACTTGAACTTAAAGTTTTGCCTATTTCAGACCACATTTCATTTTCTTGAGAATATGTTTTTTGTTTGAGTTTTTAAACAAAGAAATAATACTCTAGGAAATGACACATTGGCCTGAAATGGGAAAACAGTGGATTAAGTCTATTGCAAATTTTGGAATTTGATGGCGTCACACTTGGTTCTATGCTCCCCAGTACGCGTGCAGTACTTTAAACATCTAACGATCTGAATTCCAGTCATTGTCATTAATGCTTACTTATATTTCCCAATGACACTGACATGGCCTAACTTGTCTTTCACAGGGTAGTGAGAATCCCCAGGATCACTTTGTTTATGTCTGGAACAACTTCATCAAGAAGGCCAAGGCCAAGCACATCGTGATTGTTGCTCATAGTTTTGGTGGGGTAGTAGTTCTTCATGGYGTAAGTATTTTGCTGCCTTACCTCTTGATGCAACTAATTTGATAGTGATAAAGCGTTTTCACTCACGTGAGAAGGCAGCCATAAACAATAGAAACTTTCTGCACAGTACTTGCATAAAAATAGAGTTCAGTTCCCAGAGGATAGAAAATGTATTGTTTTGGTACCCCATAATGGTCGCTGTGACGTCACATGAAAACGCTCTATACTTTGTAACTGTTATTTTTATGATATTTAAACTCATGGCCATCTTCCATCATGTTAATTGCATTTCAGTCCCGTTCTCATCTATTTGGGCACTAGCATGAATTGGGTGACATGTGCTTCAAGTGCACTGTCTCTTATCTCTTCCTCTGTCTTATTGTTTCCTTTCAAATCATTTCTACTCTCATTCCCATTCTCATCTCTTTGG